CAGGCACCCCATCTCTTTCCCTCGTATTAATCAAAATAGGAGTTTTCTACTTTGACGTGGAATCGTAGCAAATGGATAAGGTATTGTTTCGTAAATTGAAAGTATGGTTTGTCGGGCGTCCAGTGGTGGTTGAGCTCTAGCGGTTCCATCGGTTAACGGCAGTTGTTCGGCGCATACAAGATCGGATAGGTCTTCGATGTTGGACGCTTCAAAGCTTGATTTAGACAAGGCATATAATTGCTATTGTCAGCTAAAGGGTTTACTATAAACTGCAATTATAGAAGACAATGATTAGAAATGTTTATATGGTCTCGTATCGCTTATATTCATTACGTCCGCAAAGCCTCGACCGCCAGCCGGCGACAATATTTCATCATAGATTATGCAACGGCGGATATTAAAAGGGAGCCCTTTTTATTAATTCTCATAGAGTAAATATACATAATCCGCTAGTGGACCTCATAACATGATTTTTTTTACTTATATCCTTTATTATGAAAATGAAAATTAATCTAAAATTTTCTTCATAAAAATAAATATAGCTTTCAACAATCATTTTAATTTAAGTTAAATTTAAAAAAAGAAATAGTTAAAATTTCAATTGTTCTCTTTTTATGTGAAATCTCTTTTTATGTAAAAAAAAAAGATGTACCTTTGTAACTTAGATATCTTCAAATTTTGACTGTATTAATTAAAAATGTACATACAATATTTTGTTAACGAAATATTGTGTGTCCATATTCCATACATTTTTTGAATTTAATAAACATTTTAAAATACAGTTCACCTCAAGATTTATCAATGGTGTTTGTGATTATTTAATATTTACGTCAAAATTCAATCTACTGTTTGTAAAAATAGCTAGATATTTATATGCTTTAGAATTCAGAAACTAAAAAAAAAACCAAGATCTCAGTGAATGCAGGGATAGTAAAAGGAACACAGAAAAAATTGGAATACAATAAAAGGCTTTTATAACGTGAAGAACAGACGTTTAGGAGTTCATCTTAATAAAATGAGTCGTATTTATAAAAAGTATGCTTTAGAAACAGAATTTATTAATAATAATATATGTTTTCACTGTATTATCGGTGTATAATAGAACCCAATAATTAATTCCATATTAAGGCTTTGCTTGTCATTATTATTGTTGCTGCTTTATACAATATCATCATCCACTTGCCCTTATCCCTTACGGAGGGTCGGCACAGTATGTGCTGCTCTTCCATACATCTCTATCAGCCGTCATATCTGAATCCACTCCTTTCTTAAGCATATCCTCTTTGACACAATCCATCCATACTTTCTTCGGTCTTCCTCTACCTTTGTAGCCATCCATATTCAATTTTAACACTTTCTGGTTTATGTCCCCCATCGTTTCGTCGCATAACATGTCCATGCCACGCTAACCTTTTGCTTCTCAATTTCTCCACCACTGGCGCTACTTTCTGGCGCGCGAAAGTATGGATGGATTGTGTGAAGGAAGATATGCTTAAGAAAGGAGTGGATTCAGATATGACGGCTGATAGAGATGTATGGAAGAGCAGCACATACTGTGCCGACCCTCCATAAGGGATAAGGGCAAGTGGAAGTGGACAAAATATAGTTTCAAATTATTAGATAGCTTTCGCCCATGACTCCGTCCGTATAATAAAAACCTAAATAAGTTGACTATGCTCTACATCTATGCCAAATTTCATCGAGATCTGTTCAGTGGTTTAGGCGGCAAACTCAAACAAACATCCATCTAATCTTTCGCATTTATAATAATAGTAAGATAGGATACTACTTTTAAATATTTGCCACATTATTTTATACTAGCTATTGCTCGCCACTTCATACACGCCACACACACATACTCACTGATAACGTAGCTTTTTAATGGTGAAAGAATTTTTGATATGGAGCCAGTAGTTTTTCAGTTATTTCAATATATACAAAAATACAAATCTTTCCTCTTTAAACCTTAGTGTAGATTACTTTTAAATAAATAGAAATTAATCATAGAAATCCCACGAGGTTCATTTTTGTAATGAAAATCTCACCAATCAAAATAACAATAACATACAAAAAAGGTAATTTACGAAGCAATTTGTGATGTTGCCAGCTTCTAAACATTGTAACAAAGATGTCTCCGTTTCACGTTGCGTTGTTTTTTCGTACTGGCAATAATTCGTATACGATTGTGTGGGAATCGTGACAAATACTGTTATAGATTTACCGTTTTAGATCGAAGTCATACGTGTTGTGACGAAAAAGCACGTAGAGTATGAAATGATAGACATTTTAGGTGATAATGTGATATTAATGACGTTGTAGAGTAAAATACTTGTTTTTTTTTAATAGCTGTTACTCGCGACTTCGCCCGCGTGAAATTGAAAAAATAGTAAAAATATAGGCTATGAATTTTTGAAATCGGTTCAGTAGTTTTTGAGTTATTTCAATATCTACAAAAATCCCAAAATTCAAATCTTTCGTCTTTATAATTAGTATAGAAGAAATAGGATTTTTACGTGAATCCACAATCCACTTTACATTTCTTGAGTGCAAATAATGTTATTTATTTATACGTACTAATGTAAGATTTTTTTTATATAGCTTATAAATATTTTTGACTTCTGAATTTAAAATAAAATATGTAATTTATTTAAAAAACCTTCAAGGTTTTTTTTTTCAAAGTTAATGAATTAAAATCTAACTCGCAAAAAATTGCGTCATTTAAATAATAAAAAAACAAAAGCACAGATAATATTGTCGTCAGTAGTATTTAAAACGAGATATAACAGGCGCTCACTTTTCCCGCGGATAATGTTCCGCCATTTTCCAAAGTTGCGGCGCGGCTGTGGCGGCTTTTTTAATTCGTGGCCAAACATTGCCCGGACACGGAAAATTCTAAAAGCCTCTCCAAGCTTTATACTTATATGATGTAATAACGTACACAAATATCTACACATAGGACATTTTTCAATATAGAAAAGGACAAGATTATTTTTCGATTCTTATCTTTTACTCTACATATTATTGGATAAGAAATATTGACTAAAATACCGGGGGTTATAATAGTTCAAAATTGAATATTGATTTCGGACGTAATAGAGTCGGCAAACTACATTTTCATTATGTCTAGTTTCATTTTAGACACTTTTCTTGCTTGTGTTTTTCACGCAATCTATTTAAATTTTTTTATCATGCCATTTCTTCTGCAAGATACTTAGACGTATATTTGGCGCTATATGTGAGAGAAATCTTTGGCGGAGTCGTTTTAATCAGGAGCTGGACAACCTCTACCAAGAACCGCATGTAGCCACATACGAGACTCAAATGGGCTGGTCACGTGCAGCGGATGGACGAAGTCAGGATGCCTAAATCTTATGGCGAGCAACTCTGAAGGTCGTCGAGATCGAGGACAAAATTGAGATGGGTAGACGGTGTAAATCTTAATGTTGAATGTTGGCATAACAAATTGGAAATCTGTAGCCACTAATAGACCGAATGAATGAAAAAAAAATGCTTGACCACGCAGAGCTAAGGAAGAAGAAGAAGAAATGTATTCTTCTACATTTATATTTTACGACATTTAAATTTCTTTTTCTTCATAACTACACCTAAAATGCTAATCTTGTTATTCATTTTAATTTTCTGTTCCTGTTATAGAATTTTTATACTCTATGAATTTTCAGCCGAAAGAGTACAAAATCACATTATATCTTTATTTTTAGGCAATACGTGGAAGTGGAGGAAATGTATGATAATATACAATGAATACAAAACATGGTTCCTTCAATAAAATATTTAAATCTTTATCCTTTACATCTTAGAGGAACCGCTTTATTAGAATAGTCTAAGCACAAATAATTCCTTTCAAAGGTCATGGTCTCTTACAATGAGCGTTTCTTTCCCAAATAAATTTTTCTTTCAATTTATTTATCCCCTTAGTTTAATAGCGTAAAAATATATAGCTTAAAGTATGTCGTAAGTGTAGGACTTTTTATTAAAGAAAGTATTAATAAAAAAAGTGCTGAGATTACTGACATCCTACGTTACAAAGTAGTGTGTGTTTATGCTTTATTATATGTATAAGTATAGATAAGTGTAGATAATTCACCTTTCGCAATAAATACTTGGAATAATTCTTGCAAACTTTATAAGAACGCTAGTTTAATTTGAAACTCAGTCTGGACCTTTTATTTATAATACCAACATTAAACTAGAAGATCAGATCTGTCGCTTGTCAAACAATTTAATCAACGTTTAAAGAATTCTAATTATAGTGTTGTTGCATTCACTTGTTTTTACAACACTCGGTTTGACCGAAACACTTGCATAGAACATTGTTGTACTATTATAATAAAGCGTAAAAACACATCTTCTTTGTTGCCTAAGATGTCATGCTTTAGGCTATATATTTTCACGCCATTAAACGTAGGATGTAAATAATTTGGATAAATGCCCTAATGTGGGAAAGAGACCATAAGTTGCTGCCAACATCAAGAAAGAAAGATTGCTAAGGTTTGTCATGTCATGTCATTTTGACATTTGCTATTGATAATTTGACAAATGTGAACAATAAAATAAAGTTTTTTATAATTACACGCGGATGAATCCGCACGCGAACAGCTAGTTTTTGTATATCTTTCATTTAAAAGTAGCCACAAGACTAAAATGCTTCGAGCTGGATATTTAAAACCTAATTACAATAAGCTTATTAAACCCAATGAAGCTTTTTAAAACCGAAAGATATATTTAAACATGACATTGATTGAAAAAGTGTCTGTTTAAAATTTCCCTTAGATATTATCTTCGATACATAAATTTGATAAGACTCTACGGAGTGCTACGCAGAAATAAATACGTAACATATATTTGCTCTTCTTTTCATCTTCTATTCACTGCAAATGTCAAGAATCATTTGTATTTTTATTCTTGTAATTCGTCGTTAAAATATCTGGCTTTTCGTTTAGGATTTAGCCTTTTAGATTAAAAAAAAACGGAGTACATACCGTAGGCGCAGCTCTGGAGTCGGCAGAGGGCTGCTCAGCCCCGTCGACACAGAAGTAACACTTCTCCGGGGGCTTCCAGTCTGCCGGCTCTTCTGGCAGCTCGAGTTTGGGCTGCGTCGCTGGCCGTTTGATGAGGCTCTCCAGTATCGTCTCCGGACGGCCGGTCTTCGTTCCACTGTCCTCCCGCGCTCTCGTCTCGTCCCCTGCCCTGTTCTCGAGCCCAGCCCTCGTCTCCTCCCCTGCCCTGGTCTCGTCGGGCGCGTTGATCTCCTCGATGGTCTTTATCTTGAGAGCGGGCGGGGGGTCGGTGGCAGGCGTGGTATCCTCGTCGCTGGACTGTTCCCCGTCGCTCCGTTTTGGTATTAACGCGTCCTGATATAGTTTCCATTTTCTTCGACCCATCAACTCCTCCGCCACCCGTTCTAGACCTGAAGTAATATTGTAAAGTTAAACAACAATTTTTGCACAATCTGTAACGGATGTCCGGTTTTTATTGCAACCTTAAAAGTATGGTGGATTAAGCTGCGTGAATACAGAACGATTAGATAATATGGTACTAATCTTTGCGATTTCGTTCTTACGCAGAGAATCCTTTACAAATATAGGAATTTAGTGAATATAGAGTGGATAAGCTGTTCCGTAAGTGATACACAGTATCCCTAGACGCGTACAAATTGAACAAAACCAAACAAACTTGACTTAAACATAAACATATCGAATGCGAAAACAAAACACAGATGGCGTCGTCAGCGATAACAGCGGACGATGACTTGTTAGTTTTTTTATTACGCCATTAAATATTTATGATGCAAATAAAGTAAATAGGCGTTAACTAATACTGTTACTTTTATTTGAGAAAATATATACTTCATACTAATATAAACGCGAAAGAATAGATGAATGGATTGATGTTTGTTAAAGTTTGTGACCAAAACGGCTGACCGGATTTCGATGAAATTTGGTAAAGATGTAGAGGATAGTCTGTAAGAATACATAGGCTACTTTTGTTTTATTTAATTTCATACTGACGGAGTCGCGAGCAAAAGCTAGACTATTTATAAATATCAATTTTTTTTCTACAGAGATGACGGAGGACTTTTTCTATAGCTTGCGTTAATTTGACTGTGAAAAAGGTACTAATAGCTACGTAATATATAAACTTTGATGCTAAAGTACTGACGGGTAGAGTTATCGTCATGTTTTCGTACCGAGTTAATAATTATCGAATATTAATTGTCAATATTTATTGCTACGCGATAAACTTTCTTCCATATGGCCTTTTTGTGTACGAAGCTTCGCTTATATGTGCGTGTTTCACTTGTTCACACGACTGGGTTTGCTAATGTGTGCATTGGTTTTGTTTATGTGTGCGTAGATAGTGCTGCCAAGGCTCGAATTACGGTTTTAAATGTATTTTTCTCTCGATATCGAGTATCGGGCGAATGATTAATTGCGTCGATACGAGGGCCGTCGCTTTGAGATGTTCAACGTTCGTGCGGAGTTAGAAATGAGTTTTGTGTTATTTTTTAATTGAGTATGAAATGGGGAGAGGATGGAGGGCCTAATTTACTATCCTCTCTTGTACATGCTCATATCGTGGCCAATCAATTTGTTTTGATGTTCATTGAATAGAAAGATAACTAAGTTATAACTGTAAAAGTGATGATTAGATTAATTAAAGATTTATGATGTTCTTCGTATAGAGAAGGGAAATATCTTCAATTGAAAGATAAATAAACTAAAAGAGAAAGTTTCTACTTTGTTGTTAAAAAAGACGCTAAGACGACCTTTAAGTTGGTCAGATCTTGATGAAAATTTGGAACTACTTTCTGAAGAATTTTAAAAATATGCTTGCACTATGTCATTATTTGAGATTATTTTTATTTTACCATTGCAACTTCAAGTTTCAACTAAATCTAATCATAGATAATAAAGAATCCTTATAATGACTATTAAGAACAATAAATAGCTGTGTTGAAGGTTTTACGAAGGTAATGATTTTTTTTTAATGCGAATAACAAAAACCAAAAAGAATAGTAAATACAAAACCCATTAAAGAACTAAGATTCTCACTGACGGTGCTTATAAAGTTAGTAGCACAGATAAGATAGGAAAATAAAAAAAAAATATTGAATACCCCTGCCCAGCAGGTGCAGACAACTACAAAGAGCAGTACGAAAAGCATCAACCGTTAAGATTTGTACGGCAATCATAAAATCGCATACATTAGCATACGACGCGGTAAAAACTCAGCCTGCCTCTATAAACAGGGATCGTCAACCTTTTAGCAATTGGAATAAATCGCCGTTATTTTATGAATAAAGCATCGATAAAATAGTTAACGGTTTTAGTGCAACTAACATTGATTTACACCCCTATTTAATAATTTTATTATAATTTTTGTAAAATAGTTTAATGTAGATTGTTTTAAAGTAATAATTCATGAAACAGTCTTGTATTCGTGCAACAGATGTTGTGATTGCAAACTTTAGGAGTTATCAGTTATTTGTAACATTTTGCTGTTTTTTTTAAATAATTGCGTGGTCGCGTATAAATTTTTAAACATGCTACGCTTCTTTAAAAACAGAAATAGCTCGTATCTACTGTTATTTACAGCATGCAGGGAAAATAAAAAAATCAATAACAGATGAATAGATAAGGAATTAAAACAATGTTTTGCACATTATAAGCCAATGTCCTGTTGGAAGCCAGTGTCTTGTTCACATCTGGCCAGTAAGACAGTGCGGTGGCCAGTTATATGTTATTATTGTATGGACTCACCAGTGTTAGTTAATGTTCACACTGTCCTAGTTGTTTGCCAGTCCAGTGGTTGAGCGCTTCTGATCAACTGTACTGGCCAAGTGTGAACCGTGCATTAAAAATGTAACTAGGGACAGGTGAATTTTCGAATTAAGCAATTACGTATAATGCTAGATGAGAGACATGCGCGTGTTGTTGTTTATTATGGAAAGGGCAAAAAATATCTACTACCCACGTATTAGGACTGTGTTACTAACTTGTCATACAAGTTAAGTTATACTACTCGTAGTATACTTAACTATGGTATGTTGAAAAATTGTGTAAACTATCGCTGTTTCTGTTATTAGTTGTGTTTTTATAGCAGAGACAGTTGTATGAAGCATTTTTATGTCTATTTTTACATAGTGTGATTAGAAACGAAATGTTTTTGTACATTTATTTTTGCTGCGTAAACCCACGAGATATGAAAAAACTTTATTGTGCTACGAATGTAAGGAGAACAATGTTGTATTTTGGTATGTAACGAATAGACTCTAAAACTACTTGATCGATTTAAACAAATAGTTCACTAATATTAAGTGACATAGTTATGATAATTACTAGTTTTTTTAATTCTTTGTTATCAAAGACAGATAGATATCCATCAACACGATAACTGCCAAAAAAAGGATTATTCCCAACGGTCACCCCGCTCTGTCCCCATGTGGGAACAGATGAAAATAAGAAATTCCATACGTCCCACCTTTTGCGACGAGTGCCAGTTGGTATTTATTTTATTTCATAACGGTTCCATTTGTCACCTTATTTGTGATAGTGGGACTAAAAGGTCGGACGGATGAAACTTTATTCTCACGTGGGGACAGAGTGGGGTGACGGTTGGGAAGAATCCCAAAACAATATGAACAGTTTTCTATCAATCGGTTAATTTCGTACTGTTCTAATACAGGAAGATTTTTTCTTAATTAGAATTCAAAGACATTTATGGACTAGATATAGTGAACAACATTTTTTTCACCGGTAACTTATTTGAATGGTACGTTAGTTTTCAAGTTTAGTGCCACCTCATGTTCTTGTATCGAAATGTTATAAAACATTTTATAAAATTATAATAAGCTCCATCTTTTGTTATAAAATAAACTAAATAACGTCACAAAATAAAATCTTAACGTTTAAATATGATAGTGACAACTATGGACAATTCATTTTATATGTGGTCTGAAGAATCTTCTAAAATTTTATTTATTTATTTTATTTCATAAAATATTGTTAGTGAGGATCATGTAAAGGTGTCTCAAGTGAAGTGTCAACGATGCTTCTTCTATACAATTTTGAATCTCTTGATTAGGATTACAAATGTTATGTTTAGAAAACTTTATAATGTTAGTGTACTAAGAAGCGTAGTGGAACTGAGGCGAGACCTTCGCCAGTTAATATTGTAATTAATGTGATGGCGATGAACTCCCATGGTGAAGTGTAATAAAAAAATAATTACATGTCAGATCCGCTTCCAAGTAAATCGGACAGCGCGGGGTTGGCAACATTTGGTACGAACTGACGTGTACATTTTTGTTCTTAAATTTAATTTGTAGGATTTTTTTCATCTTTAACAATTTCTTTTAACTGCATGCATTAAAAATTAAATGCAAAAAATAAAAAAAAATCACTTTCGAAGGAGCACAACTTTATAATAAACTAGCTGTTCCCATGCGACTTCATCCGCATATAAAAATTTCATTTATTGTACACGTTTATTTGTCTAATTTTATATTGCAAATGTCAAAATGATATGACACGATGATAATCTTGCTTCCTTGATGTTGACAGCAACTTATGGTCTCTTTCCCACATTAGGAATTTTATCCAAAATTTTTACCCCCTAAGTTAAATCTCGTGAAAATATATAGACTAAAGCATGACGCAAGTGTAGGGCTTTTTATTAAAAAAAGAATTATTCAAAAATATGGTATAATTGCTGAAATCTTAGGCAACAAAGAAGTGTGTGTTTACGTTTTATTATAATAGTATAGATTGCCGTCTTTTGTTAAAAATGTGGACTCAATACATTTAAATCAACGTTAACGCAACATGTATTAGAAAATTTTACAAAATTTATATAAAAATGAATATCGGCGATAAACAATGTATAGTAAATGTAATTTTCTCATGTAAGTCTTTTTGAGAATAAAAGTCTTAAACCTCAAACCTCAATTAATCGCCCTAAAGTACCTATACTCATATGTAAGTCAGCCAATGTAATTAAAATTTTTGATTTTCATAATAGAATACACTTTCTTTTGTATAGATAGTAAGTCCGTATTTAGAAGCAAACTATGCATTCATTTCGTGGTGAAAAAAATATTAAAACTCAAATGTATGGCTTTCCAATAATAATTCTCATGTAACCTCAAAACGCTTCCAGGCATGTGCAGCAATTATTTTCACTGGCAATGCGAAATATATTCCGACGATACAGTTTTTAGTAACTAAACAATATACGCAAAATAGGAAAGTTAACAAAAAAAACACAAATTTATTTTTAAAAACCACGCACCATAAGCATTGTTAAGTTGAAAATTAAAAAAGTTTCAAAAGAAAGAAGTAATCAACATTTTCAGCGTAGGTTCATACGAGGCTAAAACTAACTCGTATGTTATTTGCGGAGGAAATT